TCCCTCAGGTTCCATCAATCCAAACAAAAGCTTTAAGTAGATTAGTTTCAATGTTGTTAAATAACTACTATGGGGGATCAATATGGTAGTGGAATTTAAACAAATCACTATTGTTGTGTGATATGCTATTTATGTCTAATAAAAAGTGTTGTCAACAATGATGCATTCTAAAAATGTTTTATACTGTATGAGTAAATATACATACATGTACTATATTAAGCTGAATTTATTTTGTTTTGACTACTACACGTCACAATTAATTGCAGATGAGAATTTTGCAAATGAGATATCGATTTCAGTTATTGCTAATGCACATCAAAGTAAGGTCGTATAAGGCCGTACTTTGCAAAAGGTGAGTATTTGTTTGATTCATGTCTTTTATCTTGATTTTATCTGCTGTAAGCTTGTTTAGTCTGTAAATATTAATATAACTTGGGCAACACTTCTCGCTAGAACAATCGATTTGATTGCTTAAAGTGACCAGTAGCATAATGTATGCTGCATTATATTATCATACATGTTCAACCCTAGGGTAGAAGACTGATGAGATTGTTATACATTTGTCTGGATTTCTTATTGCTGGCTTGGTAATTGGCATGTTGCTAACTAATTTATTAATGTGAAATAAAATGGAAGTTCCCGAGCTTCATAAATGGATCGATAATTGGTATGATAAAATTTATGACATGCAATTGTGTTTGTAGAGCTTTCTTGTGTCCAAGATTTGTATAGAAGAATTAGAAAGAACTATTTAGAGATAATATTAGCCACGTATATAATAGTGCGCCAATGTTAGAGAATAATACGAATAATTATTTTGGTCCGAGAAAAGATAAGGGATTGGTCAAATTTGTCCCTAGAAGACAGAAATCACTCGAGTGATCCCTAAAAGATGACTCCATCAGTCAAATTGCTCTTTAGCTTAGGAAGCTTGAGTTAATATTCACGGAGATGCACATGTGGTAAGATTTCACTCATCTTTGCCATGTAAGGCATTGTTTCTCTTACAAATAAAAATTCTCAGTATTCCTTCTCTCCCTATTTACTTATCTTTGATATAAGAAAATGAAACCGTAATTAATCTCAAAATTCCCTTTCCATCTTTAATCAAAGAATGAAACTCTAGCTACTAAAAGTTGAGTTAGACATGAGCAGAGATTATCGTCGATTGGTATCCCACATCTTTGTCCTAGAGGGCCTTTTGTGTTCTATTTTTATATAACAACAACAGAAGTGCACAGAGTGCAGTAAATAGGATTCTTAATCCATGGTCTAGCCAAATTTAATGTAACCTTCTTAGCTAGCATTTGATAAACAATTTAGAACAAAATAAAATAAATTCGGCAAAAAAATAAATAAGTAACGCATTTTGATTTCACTTTAAAAGGTGGAACCAAAGAGAACAGAGCAAAATATGCTTTTACATTCTGCTCCATCCGCATGTCATAATCTTCAAATTTAGGTCGTATGCACCGCTGTCAAATAGTGGCACCACACTGTTATAGCATTGCAAAATTTTAGCAACAATTATTGTTCTACTGTTTAGTACAAATAGTGCTAATCGCAGCGGCGACGCTTATTGGAATTTTAACGAACATTTATTTTCTGTGGTCTGTGATTGACAATACTAGTAATATGTCTATGAACCAATAGGACATGTGTTTTTATATGATTCCATTCAGTCTTCTCAACTAATTGGGTTTTGTGTTTTTCCCCGTTTTATTATTCAAGCTAGTTTCCATCTCTACAGTTTTGGCCGCGTCTTTTTTCAGTCACGTGGGACCCATTAGAGGGTGCTACACTTTTGCACAATCCCAAATCCATGTTTTGTTATTTTTTGAATCACAGGGTCATATCTAATACTTTTGGCAATAGATGTGGTACCTCTTTTGTCTGATCATGGTTTCTGAGGTATTTCTTACCTCTAGCGTTTTTTCCAGCAATGGTGTCTCATAAACTATTACATGAGCTATCAGAATTTGAAAAAGGGATAATACTGTTAGACTAAGGCACGGATCTAGAAGGGGGGGTTGAATAGATCCCTTTTAAAAATTTGAGTGGCGCTACCAATAAAATTGGTTTTCAAAATTGTTTTCAAATGCGGAAGCGGCCTTGGAAAATATAGTCTAAAACGAACAACTATTGGAGAGCCGGATATGCGTCAAGCAGATGAATTTAAGACGATAACGGATAGTAAATCACTACACACTTTTATGCAAAAACTCAGATGTGATTCACTCGTACTATTTCCTTATTCCAATGATCAAAAATTACACCAAAACTAGCAGCAAAATTAAGGCAATTTTAGTTCAGCACTTTTGTCGAACAGTTGGTGTGCACAAAACTAGCAGCAAAATTAAGGCAATTTTAGTTCAGCACTTTTGTCGAACAGTTGGTGTGCACAAATACCTTAAATGATATTTGTGTTGAATGAGTGATTGAAAAAGCCTTAGTACAGTATTTCTATTGTACTTAGTAGTTAAAAAACAGTGTTTCACCAACTCACTCAATCAATACTACAATTTGACAAAATCACTTATTCTAGAATCACTTAATTTTTAAGCTGTAATTGAAAATGCAGAAAATAAAGGAACACAAGATTTGATGAGGCAGTTCCCCCAGTCGTCCTCGCGTTGGGGTACGTCTGCCCTCAATTCTACAAAGAGAATTGAGATATGTATTGAATAGATATCACCTGTTTGGTAGAACAGTTATACACAAGAATCGATAGACAATTGATACAAACAATCTTAATGTTGCTGATAATTTCTACCACTTCTTGCCCCTTGATTCAAGATGAATCAAGTCCTCCAATTTGATGTGAATGACCTCCGATTGCAGCCACCTTATTGACAACTCTTCCGTTGATCAAACCTTCGGCACGGCTGATCTTAGACACACCCAAATTGAACCCGGAACGTCTTCAACCTTTCAACGCCCTAGCTACTAGATTGATCAACCTTCCGCTAATCAATCACCTTCGCACTCGCTTGATTGTTGAACCGACGATTCCGTAACAAAAGCCTTCAAAACCTGTAGTCTTGATAGGTAAAACCTCAAAGGTTTTCTCCCAAGAAACACCTGCACCAGCTTCCACTCGAACCGGATCTTCAATCACGCGTTCGAACCTTATCACCGTCGAGCAAACCACAAACCGCAGCAAAAAATTGATTATCTGTAATTTGAGGATTTGTGAGTTGATTGAACGATGAAGATGAAGAACACTGATGCACCTCTTTCACGTTTCTTGACCTGAACACTTTCTCACAATGCTTTCAAAAATGTTGTTAAAAAATTGTTGGTAGTTAAAATTGAAAAGACAGCTATTTATAGTAATACACAAAACAGACAGTTGACAGATCAATGAAACATAGCAGAATTTCTGTTTCTGCGCGCGAACGGTCGACCATAGGGTCGGCGTGCGCTGAGCCGTGTGATTCTCAAACTGTCATGCGCCGAGTCAGCGGTCGACGCATGATCTTCATGCGCTGAGCCGTCTGATTCTTAAACCTGCATGCGCCAAGTTAACGGTCGACGCATGACCTTCATGCGCTGACCCGTGTGAACTGAATGAAATTGTGTGCTGACGGTATGGTTGACTCATAGCTACAAAACCTGCAAAAATTGATATGTTTGTTGTTTCGTGCATCTTGTCACGACCAAACATTAGTCACATATATTGCCAATGAAATATGATGATTTAAAAGGATATAGGAAGGATGTAATATGTTAAGTATTGCATGACGATTCTGATTCATCCGAGGTTGTACTTTGTCATCATCGTAAGTATGCATGACGACTCTGATTCATCCGAGGTTGTACTTTGTCATCATCGAAACTTGAGAACGTATGTTGTGAGACAGTTTTCCCTCACAAATACATCAAGGCATAGTTTATCTCCAAGATAGCCATACCATACCAGAGCATCTGCGTAGCAGCTTCACACTGAAACTTTCCTAAGGTTCAACCCAAAATTAAACAAAAGTTTTCTTCCTTGATTCAAAGAAATTTGATGTTTTTGTATCAAAATATTAAATACACCGGCAACACTTGTAGTTATGTCAAAGCTTCCACAAGTTTATAACAAAAAATAATTTTTATTTACTTTAGTTGTTCAGCGAGTTATATATATATGATGTGTGTTACTACATTATATAAAATATGAGTCCATAGTCTAAACCATAGTGTGGGGAGTAATATTTCATAAGCAGTATTGTCGTTGCCGGAAGGCCAAAAGGCCACTACATAAACGCACCATTGTGCCCTATGGCGCTGCAATAGTGGCCATCCCTTCATGAATTGCCTAACATGGTTTTCGAAAATTCTGCTGTGCCATTCATTATGACGGTGCCGTGACTTTGATTGAACAACACTGCTCATACGTTCAAACCTTGTGAAAATTAGAGAGTTTCTAACATCTGATTAAGAAGCCAGTCATCATAGGCTTCATATATTTTAACTAACATTCAAAAACAGAGTACAAGCTGATGAAGTTTGATATAAAATCACACATGTGCTAACAACAGAGAATATGATTATTTTGGTCTTTGTTAAATAGCGGTGCTGTAGAGTAGCTTTATTTGAACAAATAACTATTGTTCCACGACATGCTATTTAGTACAAAATGCTGTCAAATAGTGACTATAGCGGCTGACTATAGCAGCGCTATAGCACTGTTGCATAGCGGAATTTGACAAACCGCCATTTTTCGCGATCTGCAATTGATAACACTGGACAACATGAATTAACAGACAAAGAAAATATGAACTACTAGCAAAAATACCTAAACGAAAATCAAAACAAAGTTCTCTCTTACATAAATATAAACCCACAGTTTTGAATTTTTTAAAACTTAAAATGATTGAAAGCAAATATTGTTCTTAACATTCATAAGTGAACACAGTCGAAGACTGTGTACATAATGAAAAATTAAGTGTGCAACTTCCTATCTCCATAATTACTTTGTGAGACTTAAAGGATCATCATTGGGGATTTATTCATCACGAGTGTGGGTATCCACCACCTTGGCCCAGATTCTTAGTTTTGCTATGGCTTGCTTTGTGCCCACCAAGAGCTTGGTAAGATTGGAACATTTTTCCGCACCTATCGCACTTGAACCTGGTTTGAGAGTCAGCTTGAGCAAGCGAGCCTCCTCTACGGCTCTTTGGCCCTCCTTTGGACATCATATAGAGAACCTCGGCTGCTTTTCTATCGGCCGATGCATTAAGTTTGCGGTGGCATTTGGATCTCTTGCGGGTTGGGCTTTGTGGGTAGAATACAGATCCGTCTCTTCTGTTTGGGTTTGCGTTTGCAGAGATGGCAGAAAAGTTGCGTTTCCTAGATCGAAAATTCTGAGTTTGGTTTTTTTTGGGATGGCAAATTAGTGAGAAAGCAGATTGATTTGGATGCTGGGTTAGATTGGCTGAATTGTCTTGTACTTGATTGTTAGTTTCAAGCTTCGGAGGAATCAGCAATTTGACGTAGTGAGATCTCATGTGGCCTCCAATGGCTTTCGCACTGGAGAACCACTTATCACAAATCCCACAGACTTTGCCGTTGTTCTTTTCCATAGTTGCAGAAAACTGTAAGTTCATATACTTTCTCACTCCTTTGTTGTGGTTGAGTGTTTGTTGAACTCGGAATTATATAGAGGGAAATGTTGCAAGCCTTGGCGAAACCACTGTGTGTCTAACACGTTCCCGTCGGAAATTACGGCTGTAGATACATCGCATCTATATACATCATTATAATTGCAATAAAAAGCCTTCCTTATGCAAATGGAACAAAATCAGAAAAGGCCATAATAAATGTAGGATATGCTGACCTGTCATCACCCTAGTCTGCATTTGAGCTTTTTTTTTGCTTTACTCTGAAATTTTAACTTAATGAGATTATACAAGGAAAGTATAATTAAGTTTTTTAAGATTTTGATTTTGCATTTCTTTTATTTTTTCTGAAAAGTATAAAATAAATAAACTATGAAGCGTTATACCACTATTTTTATTGACATTTGGCATGTTACTAAAAAAGCAACAGATTTTAACTAGAAACACTGGCCATTTCATTTCAATATTTGATCTACTTTTTTTTCTCCATTTTAGTTCTGCTTAAATTGATACTGCACTTATCCATTATTTCAATGGATAAGGTTGTGTTTGTCAAGTTGCAGGCATATGCACTACACATTAAATTTAATGATAATGAAATTTATATTTCAAAGACAAAATGAAAGAATAGTTATCTTTTTGACTAACTGTCTCTGATATATAGTAAAAAATCATTTTTGTTTCTGTTTAACTCGGATTATTCATGTTTATCTTTTACCATTGATTCCATGATGAATATTTCTAAAGCCAGAATAGTTATCCAGGTAGAATTGTACGCATTTTATAGCATGCATTTTCTGTATATGATCATGTCTTAACGATTTCATGTGTATTTACATATTTCATCACTCTCTTACTTTTTTTGCCTTCTTATTATTTTCAATTTCACGTGTCAACAAATATTTTAAGCTAGTATCCTGATTTCCATTTTGATGTAATTTTATTCTTTTGTTTTGAATAAATTGTTTCACAATCTGTGGTTGACACAATGCAGCGCTCTATAACTAGACTAAGAGTCATTAGTGTCTAATTGCATAAAAATCTTCAGTGATTGTCCCAGGTTTGAAAATTTTAGAGTCATATGAGTGACACAATAATTGGAGCCACAAAAAATCAATCAAAATTGTAGTTTTCTAAGATTTTTAAACAATTTACTTTCATTTATTTGAAAATTGGCTGTTTTAGAGGGAAAAGAATGTTAAGGTTTCTTTGAATTCCCCCTTCATAAATAAGATCAGAGCCGGTGATGAATGGCTCAAATTTTATCACAGTTAAACTGTAATTGAATAGAGCTTTGTTACAAGTTTGTTACGGTTAAACCTTAACCATGATTATATTGAAATACTGAAAGCCTATTAGGAATTCTAAAAGCTTAAGATGACATGTGTATTTGAATTTTAACCTTATTTGTGAGAGATTTGTGAACACTTTTGTTTTAACATCCTTATGGTGTGTTTCATAATAAAAACTAGGATTTCCTTTTTGGTTTGAACTATTGATGTTCAAAACACTCCAGATTCATTTATTGGGAATGGAAAATGGGGTTTGATTGGATGAAGTATTATTAGTGCTGCATCAAAGGATCCTACTAGCAGCAACTTTCATAAAATATATTAAAAGAATAAAAATAACTAAAAATTCATAAAATGTATTAAAAGAATAAACAAAAACTAAAAATCTATAATAATGTATAATACAATATACCACCAATGTATTGTGCAAGTGGTTACTGTGAGGTTTGTGGGTATTGTTCACTACACCTTATTCCTTACTCGCTCATCCTTAGAAATTTTTTATAATATTTTCAAAATCTAAAATTTTTATAATATTTTCAAAATCTAAATTTTGGAATTCAGACGCATCAAAACACATGTAAAATACAAATATAAAATGTATGGATTTTAAATTTTGGATACATTCCAACACATCACAACAAATAGTGGACGCTTTCATTTAAGTACTTATGCCCTGTATTTTCCTATTCTTTCCCTTCCAATTTGAAAAAAAATAGTGTAGCAGAGCTCTTGTATCACATTGTTCTAATCTTTCTCGCAAGTTCTATTCTTGTATGTTCAAATCTAGGATCTTCATCAAATTCTACTTGTCTCCATTCAAGTCTGTTAGTTCCATGGTTCTATGATTGACTAAATTTTGGTAAAACATTATCCTGCACTGATGTTAAGTAGGATATTATAACATCTCCATCTGCTGTGGTGACATAACTGCTGTGGAGTGTTTTATTGTGAATGTCATACTGAATGTCGTGACATCCATCTGCTGTCATGACAGAACTGCTGTCATGTGTTGTTAATCACAATGTCATGACCAATGTCATGACATCGCTGTCTAATACAGCAGGAGCTGTGGTAACAGAACTGCTGTCATGTGTTGTAAACTGAATGTCATGACATCAATGTCTGGTACAACAGGGGCTGCTATGTTATATCTCTTGACATAAGTGTTTTGGTCCTGTTGGATATTCCTCATCAGTATGTACATGCCAAAGAGATTCATTAGGAACAAAGTACAGATTTAATTAGTGTTCATAAAAAGGATCTTTGAGACTTTTTAGGAAACTATAATATGCTTGTTTCTACTGTTGTGAAGAAGATTCTGCAGGAGTGTTCAGCAGTGGGAGTCTGGTCAGCTAAGTGAAGCTGAATGTCATAACTTAATGTTATGACATTGATCGTATGACATCAAGCGTGCAAAGTTTGTTTTTCTGTTATGATACCTGATATATCTCAGGCTAAATTTCAGAAAACCTGTTATGGCTCCTTAGTTATCTCAGGCGAGATTCTAGTCAGGGCTGGACACAACATAAATCAGCTGTTACCTAATTTGACAGCACCTTGAATTATGGAAAGTGGTTTAACTTGGTTTAACCTAAAGTTTGTTACTTGTGACCAGCCCAAGCCCAGTCTACATTGCTATAAAAGGAGGAGCAAAAGCAGATGAAATCAAGCACTCACATCAAGAACAACTTGAGTGTAAAATAAAGGTCTAGGGTTTGAGAGTCCCTTGTGTGTAAGTCACCCTTTGTATCGTTTGATGCATTGTGGTAGACATATTTGTGAGTGAAGAGGTTTGCTCTTCACGTGTGTCTAGGAGTCTTAGGATTCCTTGTGTGCCAAACAATTGTATGATGTATAATTGCTTTGGTTATTGTGTATGAACTGTTGTGTTCATTGTGTCACTCAAAGCTTTAAGCAAGAGTGTGTCTCACTTTATCAAAGCTGTGAAACAAGATCATAGTGTGTTTTTGGAGTGTATCTCCATAACTATTTTGTAATTGTGTATTAATATCACTGTGGTGTGATTGAGGGGGAGTGAGTGGGTATACGCAGGTCTAGAGTGTCTCTAGGCAGAAATTGCATTGGGTAGAGATTAAGTGAAGTGTTGTAAACGAGAGAGTTTAGCTCTAAATTGATTCTGCTAATAGTGGATTTCCTTCCTGGCTTGGTAGCCCCCAGATGTAGGTGATGTTGCACCGAACTGGGTAAATAATTTACTGTGTTATTTATCTTTCAGCATTTACAATACTGCACAATTTAAATGTTTAGATAAATAGTCTGTCAGTATGCAGATGTCACAACAGAGGTCATGACGTTGATCATGACATCGTTAATTCTTAAAGGAATTTAAATTGGTCATGGTCTGTCCTCATCCTTGTTGAGCATAGATCAATGTTCTTGGGACATATGAGATCTGCATACCAGAATTTCAAAGTCAAACACATTCATCTCTCACATTTGGTAAATCTTATATCCTTGCCTTTTTATTTTATTTTATTTTATTTGTGATACATGCAATTTCTTAAATTATAGTCATGTTGTAGTAGCCAATAGAAATGTACAATTTGTTTGTTCCTAATAAGATTTGATATGAATTTTGGACATTTGATGGTTAAGGTATGTGCATGAACGAAATTTGCTCTGTTTTAGTTCAAATTTTAAAATCAAGACCTTTCATACAGATAATAAAATTTAAATTTCTCTATTTTTTGTTATATTTTTTAATTTTGTTTGCTAATACATCATTTTTGCTTCTTTGATTTTTATATGCTGTTTAGTTTTGTTTAACTATAAAAAATTGGCTGACGAACAATATAGATATAAACATGGTTGAGTGACCCATGTTTCATTGCATAGAGAAAAAGTTAGAGTCTTGCGAGATAGTCAAGTGGTTTAACATAGATGAAGACGTTGTCTACATTAAACTTTTTACGAATTTAGAGAAGATTCACGAGTACAATTATAGGGCATCTTATTTGGTTTATCTCTACTTCAAGTTAGCTGAAGGTAGTTTATAGAAGATGAGACAAACTGATATTAGTTTCACAATACTTGTGCTACACTGATATTTCATTTGAACCATTTTTCAGGCATGAATCCTCCAACATTTTCTAGTTATCACTGGCTGTGAGTGTATTGACGACTACTCAGAGAATTTGTCACGTGCATACTCGATTATCCCACTTATGGGGGTAATTCAACGAGAAAGATGTATATGCTTGTTCTTAACTACATCTTGACAGATATTTGTTACATCGTCCGACAATCATGAGCACTATGCTGGTTCTGGTATACTAAGGGACCTCAGAACCGATGCTCTTTCCCGTGTCTTTTGCAAAGATGTCAATGTGACATTTGTGGACTACCACATGCATTTGGTGCTAGAGGATATACATAGTGTGACAGCTTTTCTTCCATAGAGTACAATATACAATTACGTTCAATAGTTTTATAGTGTCTCATCCTTACATGACACCGGAATCAGAAAAAGACCATGGTATGTTAGCTCATCAACAGATACTAGAAGAGGAATATGCGAAGTCAGACCATGTAGTGGATGTGTATTGTCGATATATTACCGTATTGTTGATGTTGGGAGAGATGCCATAGCTAAAGGAGAGTTTCAGAAAATCACTCTACAAGTAATTTTAGTAGACATGATATACATTA